CAGAGCAGCAGCCACAGCCTCGCCCCTACCAAGGTGTCAGAGTGAAGGAGCCGGTGAAGGAGCTGCTGAAGAGGAAAAGGGGGAACATCCATAATTCTGCTGCAACTGCAGCTACAACGGTAGGGAAAAAACAAACATGGGGAAAATGCTCCCTCAGGAGCTCAGTGATTTCCCTGCCCCAGCAGTACTGTGCCAGTAAAAGAAACCTTTGCATCTCTAAAGTGTTTTGAAGGCCCTGTTGCCTGATGCTGGCAATGCCATTAAAATATCTCTTCAGGTGGGGTGCTTTTAATGTGCTGAGCGCCTTCCATCACTTAATGGAAAGGGGAAAGTGCTTTGCACTTGGCAGGATCTGATTCCTCAGGACTGAAAGTGGCTTGGAAGGGAGGCAGCTTGTTCAGGAGTCTAAAAGAGACCACCCAGAGCCATTCCTGGCTGGTTTTTTCAGCCTGCATTTGCCCTCCCAGCAGGCAGCAGCTTGGCTGGCTCCTCTCTGAAGGAGATTTCTCTCTGCTACAGGAGATTTAAACACACTTTAAGGTCCCCTTGAGCTGAGGGGATGTTGTGGGTGTTTGGGGTGGTGTGTCCTGGCTGCCAGGTTCAGTTCTTCTGTCAGTTCAGACCCTGACATTAATAACCAGCTGATAATGCCTGCTGTGCTTTGTGCTTCTCTAAGTGATTGAATTAATGTTGATGGGCTTCACCTCTGATTTTTATTTTTTCTTCTCTCTTGCAGGTTACTTTGCCCCATCAGCCAGTCCCTTCATACTCACCCATGGGTAATGTATCCCTGACTCTCTGTGACTCTCCAGGGAGGAGTGTGCTGAGCTGGGCTTTAATCCTGTCCTGTTTTCCAGGCCAGCCTTGCATTGACATGGACGCTGCTGGCCCTGCTCTGCCTGGCCCAGAGGAAGGAGCTCTGGCCTCTGGATGGATCCCCCAGCCCTCTCCCAGCTCCCTGCAGCCCCTGGCTCAGTGGAGCCCTTACCCTGAGTACGTGTCCCACGAGGCTGGCGGCTGTCCCTACACAGCAGATATGTACGTGCAGCCCGTGTGTCCCAGCTACACTCTGGTGGGACCCTCCTCTGTCCTCACCTACACCTCCCAGCCTCTCATCACCAATTTTGCAGTAAGTCAAAAGCACCAAGATGTGAATGATGTTAATTCTCACCTTCTAGCAAGAGCAGTGGGGTGTAGTTAGTCTAATTTATTTAATTACTGTCATGTTGTGTGTCTTTGCATCCATGCCACGTAATTTCCTGGACAATTATATGGTTTGTGCAGGGCAAAAAGTTGTGGTTGTACTGGAATCAGGCAAAATTCCCAAAATTCCTTTTCCCCAGCTCTCTTCACTCTTCCAGACTGAGCAGGGATTGTCACTCTTCATTTCCATGTTTAAATTTTTTTTAAAAAAATGTCAGTGAGGTTCCAGGAAGCACATCGATCAGGTGAGGCAGGAAGGATGACTTGGCAATAAATTTCTCAGAAGCTGCTGTTAAAGGATAAAAGAGCAAGGTCAAAATATGTAAAGCTAGTAGAATATTTGGCTTCAGGCCAGACAAAATATGCTTGGCTGACACAAGATGATTCCCTTTAGAGGGGAAGGGCAGAGAATTCAGGTTCCAGTGGACCTGGGGCAGCTGATTTTCCTTTCCCTGGTTCAGTTTGGCTGCTCAGGCAGGCCCAGCAATGCCCCCAAAGGCCCCCAAATTTCTGTGTCCTTCAGTGCCAAGGAAGGGCCGTGGGATGGCTTTGGGATGTGGCACTGCCTGGGCTGTTCCAGAGGCCACAGCGAGCTGCCTCCAGCCTTGGTGGCAGCAAAGATGGGACTGTCCAGAGGGCACTGCCAGCACAGGGTGTGACAGGGTCACGGGAGGGTGGGGATGGGAACAGAAAGCTGGAGGGAGCCTGAGGCGAGCGTGACCTGGGCACAGGTGTCACCCTCAGCACAGAGCTTCACCCAGAGAGGAAGGATGAGGATCTTAGAAGTGGGATGAGCATCCCCAGCCTGTGCTGCATCCTCCCCCTGCCCCACCTGGCCGATTGCCTCACTCTGCTGTATTTCTGTCCCCCTCCCCAGCCCCGCAGCACCACCCCGGCCGTGGTGCCACCGCTGGAGGTGACGGAGCAGCAGCCACCCCTGACGTATTTCCCGTGGGCACAGCCCCTGTCTGCCCTGCCAGCCTCCACCCTGCAGTACCCTGCAGCCTCCTCCTCGCTGCCCGGGCCCCAGCTGGTGCCTGTGCCCATCTCCATCCCCGAGCCAGCCCCACAGGAGCTGGAGGATGCCCGGAGAGCCATCGGCGCCCTGCCCATCGAGAAGCTGCTCCTGGAAGATGAAGACAATGATACGTACGTGTTAAGCCGTGCTCTCTCTGTCGAAGGGCTTTAGGTTGCACATCTGGGGCCTCAATGCTCAATGCTGCACGCAGCACCTCGGTGGGTTTTGAGGAGGGAGGAGAAGCAGGCGGGTGGGGTGGGAATTTTAGCACGCCGTGATTTGTGTGTTGAGTGAAATTTGCTTTGTCCTGGCGCCCAGCACAAGATTCCTCTGCTGTTCCAGCTCCTGCTGCCTCTCCCAGGCAGGTTTGGATGCTGCACACTTGTGCTCAGCACCAGCACAAGGGGATTTTCACCCTCAATTGACAGATCCCAGTGTAGCCAAGGCCAGCTGTAGCATTTGGTGAGGGTAAAATTACCTCTCAATTTTGGCAAACCCGGTTCAATAGGGCTGCTTTTGTGTAAATGCCTTGTTTGTGTGTCTGTGACCTGTCCATTGGAGAAACTCCCACCAGATTTAGGCCACTAAAAAACATTTGAGGGCCTAAACTGATATTTTTCTCCCCTAAATTTTACTACTCCTTTGGAAATCAGGAAAACGTCAAATGTAGCTTTGCTCTGCTGGTGCAGGTAGGTGCAGTAGTCTGAAAATAAAACTGAAGGAAATGCCAGAGCAGTCAGAGATCCCTGTTTGCAGAACAAGGATTCACACCAAGGTGTAACTGGGAGCTCTCACCTTGTCTGCCCCTGGAGCCCAGCCCTGCAGGTGTGGAGCAGTGGGCTGGGGTTGTGGGCTTTTAGCTGCAGAGGGTTTTGGGCTCTGAAATATCCAAATTTGAGGTGTAGGGCTAATTTAGTGGCTGGCTGGTGGACACTGCCAGTAATGCTGCCAGTGGACAGATACTGTCCCACTGAAGTCTCTGGGAGTTTTGTCTTAGTCAGGATTGCAATTCATGGCCCTGTACCAGGAGATCATTGACACAGGGATTTTCCAGAATCTGGAATGCAGCCCAAAAGGAATCCATGGCATTACTGTTACTTGGCAATATTTTTGCTTTTCTGTAGCATTTGAGTGTAAAGCTGCTGCTGTGCTGAGCCAGGGAACTTTAGTGACCTGTCCTTGGAAAGTTCCCCGGGCCCAGAGGTGCACACAATTCCTTTAAGGCTTTCTGATTTCCTTTCCTGGAGAATGAGTAGCTTCACTTTTCCCTCCAATGCAACTATAAATGTTTTGGTTGAGGCTCAGGAGTGCCATGCCACAGGCAAATATATTTCAGGAGATACATCCCCTTCAAACCCTGTTTATTGTTTTCTTGACAAACAAGAGGCTCTTGGCTGGTGAACACAATTTCTCTGGGTTTTTCTGCTTTCTAAAGCCCAGGATTGTTAGATGATTTTATTATTTGCAAGACTAACTGCAAAATAATTTATTGTACTCTCTATTACCTGGAGTTCAGTTGCCACCCAGGCAAAATTTTAAGTGGCCTTACAGTTCATGCTTGGGTGAGGTTTGAAAACTCAGGTTGAAAGTCCTAAAGACTTTCCAAGAGTATTTTTTTATTGAATATTGACAAATGTGGAAGACACGAGCACTAGATCATATAAGTGATCACAAAGTTGTTGGAAAAGAGCAGTAGTTGAGGTTTGCATTGAAATTAGTGGCTTATATTTGCAGAAAAACCCAGCAAAGAAATTAAATCAAAGGAGCTTAACTCACCACTGCTTCCTCCAGTTTTATGAAGTTCAGAGATATTCCCTAGGTAAAACTGGGATAAAGCAGTTGTGAATCAAGCTTGTGGTTGCTCTGATTGCTTTTCAATTCCTTTCACTCCAATGTATGTAAATTCTGTGTGTGAACATAAAACAAAGATGAAACTGTTTCATCATTTCTTTCTGGGTTGTTCTGGTTAGAAAAAAAAGACAAATTCTTTTTTATTTTCAATAAAGATCTACAGTAACATTACTATGCCTAGAGTGTTTTATTTCCTATCCACAAACATTGGTTTAGCAATCAATTAGTTCAATAATATATGTACAAGCTAGAACCAGAGATAGCTGTCAGACTTTGTGCTAATTTTACACATTAAGCAGACTAAGAAGGAATTCCATGATCCAGCTGTGGCTTGGAGGCATTTCCTGCAGCAGTCCTTGCTCCTGCAGTTCAGCTTCAACCATTGTTACACTCTCCTGGCACCCTTGGGGATGTGTGGGTGTGCAGCCACAGCTAATGCTGAGCTTGACTGAAAATCAGATTAGCCAGAAAATTGTATTTCCACTTCCTGAAATTGCGAGGGGTGGCTCTGGGGTACAAAACTACCCGAGGAGAGGAACAACTGCCCACCACCTCCTGCCTGAAAAGCATCAAGTATTTCTCTCTGGAGCAGAATGAAGCCAGGGGTTGGTGTGACTGTGTGTGGGGTGGTCTCCTCCTGGTTTTGGGGGTTGGAATTTCCTTCAAGTAGGACCTGGGGGAATGGAAGTGGCTCCAGCCAGAGCCAGATGACCGAAGTGAAGCAGGAAAGTGTTTTCCCCATCACTAAGGGCCACCAGCCACTTCCATGGGCTGTGACAACTCTTTGTCTTGTGCAAAATATAAGGATTGGGTCTCACTCACCAGGAGTTTTGATAAAAATTAGAGTTTAACAGGTTGATATATTACAAATATATCAATTAGGGAGTTTAGCAGGTTGATACATTAGAAATATATCAATTAGGAAATGGTTGTTACCCCAGATGGTGAGGTGTCACCAACACACCCAGAGCTGTATCACCCCAAAAAGCGATTTATACATACAATTCCCCAAACTGGGAATTGCGGAGGACTTTGACACCTCCCAGTGGCGAATCTCAGCTGCAAGAAGGTGCAGAAGTGGGAAGGAGGCAGCATGGCAAAGCTCAGGAGTGCTGAGGGCTTGGACACTGCAGCTGTTTGAGGTAGGAAGCCCTTCCTGTGGGAATGGGAGCTTTTGGGGCTCATGGCATGGATTTGTGGAACTCTGGATGTAAAACCCCAGAAGTGGCAGTGCTACCCTGTAAAACTGTTTGCTCCCAGCGTGCCCAGTGGTCCATCAGTGATCGGTGTCTTTATTTACTGTCTTAGAATTCTGCACATTTATGCAGCTAAAGGCCTGAGGGCCCACACGCTGGCAGCTGCAGAGCGCATGAAACCCCTGAGGAGACTCGATGCCAAGGAACACAGAGGAAAGGTAAAAAGGGGTTATTTTCTCCTGCAGACAGCGGGGTTTGGCATGGGAACAGGCTTGGTGTGACTGACAGCAAGATACCCTAAAAAATCCAACTCTGCCCCTCTGCTCCTGCAAGGAAGGCTTGGCACTGATAGGCCTCACTTGGGGGCAGGGCTGTAAAATCCAGAGGCATGGTCATAAATTAAGTGGGATGAGAATGATGCCATTCTTTTTTCAGCCCATGATTCATGGAGTGATGTGAGAAAACACTGGTCTGGCAAATTATTTGTGTGTTTGCACCAGTCTCCGAGGCTGAAGGTTTTATGGCCAACTGATTTGTTCTGTACCTGACGCAATCGGGGTTTAAAAAATGCTGGGTTTGGGTTGCCCTCCAAATTAAGGGCTGAGAAACACCAGAGGGAGTCCAGCAAGAGCTGGGAAAAGTCCCCATCTCATGATGCCATGTGGGATTCCAAACCATCCTGTGAGCTGTGCTCATGCCTGGCACCACAGCCCTTGGGATTTCAGCCAGCACTTTACCCACTCATTGTTTTACACCAGCAGCTGCTGCTGATGCCTGAGGATTTTAGCTTTTATATTTTTCATATATTTATGAAAATATAAATTTGTATTTCTAATAAAAATATATATTTATAATCCTGCAATTCTTTAATGTATAACTCTAAAGCTCCATGGCCTGTCAGCTACTGTTCTCCCATTTTATTCACATAAAACAATTTCTCTCCAGGCCTGAAATTGAAGGACACCTCACTGTCTCAGGCCCTGAAAAGTATAAGCAAAAGTGACTTGGTGAGGGGGGGAGCAAACTGGAGGTAAATTACTTCATTACCTGAAGCTGTAATTGGAGGATTAACCCCTGATATGTAAATGGACCACACTTACAATTGTCTAAAAAACCCTCTGGGAGGCTCCTGACTGCCCAAGGTGTATTTGTTAAAGGCCTTTAATAAATACCCATTTTTATTCTCTTAATCTTGTGTAGCCTCTGTTGCAGGAAGCCACTCCAGGGCATCCCTAGGCTCTGAGATTTGTCTGAGCTGGCTCTCACAGCTGTCTGTGCTGCTGTTGCAGACTCCCCTGCTGGTGGCTGTCACTGCCAGGCACGCTGCCATCGTCCACGACCTGATCCAGGCAGGAGCAGACATCAACGCCGTGGACAACAAAGGGCAGTCAGCTTTACACCTTGCTGCCACCTATGGCTATGCCCAAGTGCTCCAGGTAGGAGAAGTTTTATGGTTTTAATTGTTGCCAGTATAAAACCACAATTAAGTGTTGATGGTGGTGTCTCTAAATCAAGGCAAGATCTCAATGAGAGATGGAGACTGAGCAAAGGCTCAGGAATTGACTTCCCAGGGTGGCTTTAATTCCTGTTTTAGGACTGTACTTGCAGCCTGCTGTTACAGAGGGAAATTCTTTAGTGGCTCTGTGGGGGGAAAGAAATTATTTCTGCAGATCACAGCTCTAAATATTCTGGTGGCAGTCCCCAGTGTGCTTTAGCATTGGAGGGTGTGAGGTGTGAGGAGAGGTAGCTCCAAAACCAGGGTGAAACCCCCTCCCTGAGGTCACTGTCACAAAAAATTGTGTTCAGACTCAAGCCAGCAGAAGAGAGATCAGATGTGACCCTGCAGACAGGGACTGCCTTCAAAATGAGGCACATTTTTCAGATTTTCCTTCAAAGCCTGGCTTACACGAGCTAATCTTTGCTTCCCTGTTGCTTCATGGATTTCTCTGCAGACAGGAGCTGAACCTAAGCTCTGTGCCAGCCCTGAACAGCAAATTAACACTTTCAAACAGGCTCTGTGGGAATTTTGGGAAGAGATTCCACAGCAGGGATTAGCACTCTGTGAGTCTTAAATGCTTCACTACTGGCCAGAAAATGAAATTAATAAAAAAATCCGTCTTGAGCCATGTCAGGACCGAGCACAGGCAGAGTTTGGTGGCTCTGCTGAGTTTCCTGGGGACAGGGCTGAGGTGCCAGGGGTGCCTGTGGTGCTGGCACCACGTCCAGCATTCGTTAGCTGTGCCCACACGTGCCCAGGGCTGAGCCCTGAGTGGGCAGTTAATGTGTAACACAGCCAGTTCTCTGGAAAACAGGTGTTTCCTTAAGTAGGAAAAAAAGGGGTTTAATCCAGATGATGCCAACAAAGCCTCTCAGAGTGCCTTGTGGTGGTTTGGATTGCAGGGTTCCTTTGTTTGGTTTTTTCTTTTGTGGGTTTTTTGTTTTGTTTTGTTTTGTTTTGTTTTTCCTTGACATAAAAAGGGAAAACAGGCAGAGACTCGCTCCTCAATGTGGTCAAAGCCATGAAAGGCTTTATGGTTTATTTGTTTATTTTATTTTATTAGGTGTTTTTTTTTTCTAATGGATTAACTATCTAATCTCTATTAAGCACCTCAAAGCTAGCTGTCAATATTTGATCTGTACATAATTTATTTTTTTTTATAAGAAGATAAGTCAAGCCCTAACCGTTCTGTGTGATCTTTCAGTGGGAGGATTCTGTCCTGAGCCTTGTCTGACTTGACACAGATGAGTCACTGCAAAAATTCTCAGCCATTAATGTGAACAGCTTGCTTTATTCAATCAAAATAAATAAATTCTCTGTAATAATTTAGACAAGGAAATACTTAACTCCATTGTGTTAAATCTGTAATTTTCTTGCATTAAAGAGTTTTAAAGTTTTGATTCTCTGCTAAATGAAAGAAATTCTCATCTCCAGATCACAATTCCTTGTGTTTCTGTACCCTCATTGGCACAAGCTGAGGGTTTAACTTCACACACTGCTGTGCAATGAAAACAAAAAGTAAATAAATCCAGCCTGAGAATTGTCAGTGTCGGCAAACTTTTAGGCCTGTCAAGGAAAGATTTTAATTTCTCCTTGTCAAGGATCACTCAGAATAATCATGTACTGGTGTTACTGGTGTATTTGCCTAATCCAGGGTGAAAGTGAGGAGTTTGGCACTCCTGAGCTGGGGACAGTGACTGAATTTTACTGTTCTGAACTGAGAATCTCAAAGGATGATTAGATGGGAGTTAGGAATGTGATCACCTTGAATGTCCCTGTTGGGAGCATTCACAGCACTGGAATCTAGTGTCAAATAATGGATTAGTTTGTAGTTAAATTGTCATTATCTGATGCTGTTTCATTTTTCATTTTGTTAGTTTTGGCTGATTTTTGGCTTGCACAGTGTTCTTATGAACTAAAATTCTGCATTTCTCTGTTGCCTCCAGGTTATCTTGTCCCTGGGTTTCCCTCTGGATTTGGAAATGAAGGATTTTGAAGGTAAATACTCCTGCACAAGTGGTGTGGAAGTTTGTATTGGATATTTCATTGCCTGATGCTCGTTGGATTTTGGGGGTGTGCTGGGAGGCCAGAGCAGGCTCAGAAAATACCTGGGAGAGTTGTGTCTGTGCACTCAAATGCTACAAAATTCAAAGGTGCTGATGGCTCAGAGGGAATTCAATTGGAACTAAAAACATGCTGGAATGCCCCAAAAAGCATCCACAGAGCCAGAGAAGAAACCTGAGAAAGGTTGAGGCGTGTGCCTCAACAACACCTGCCCAGATTGAATAAATGATTGAATAAGTGATTGAATAAACGATTGAATAAATTATTGAATGACTAATTGAATAAATGATTGAATAAATGATTGAATAAATGATTGAATAAATGATTGAATAAATGATTTAATAAATGATTTAATAAATGATTGAATGAATGCTCTCTGTGCCAGCCCTGCCTCCTCCCTGCACATCAGTATTTTCCTGGTGCTGTCTGCACCTCCATCCCACATTTCTTTTCCAGGCCATACCCCTCTCCACTGCGCTGTCCTGGCCCACAACACCCTGCTGAGGGATCAGAGCAGCCAGGCACTGACAGAGGAGCAGCACAGGGAGCTCCAGCAGCAGAGCAGGGAGCTGGAATCCTGCATCCATCTCCTGGTGCAGACCGGAGCCTCCATCTACAGCCGGGTGAGGATGAGCTCGGTTATCCCTGGGTTTTTCTGGGAAATCTCCCCCATTTGGTGCTCAAAACACAGAACTGGGGAAGGAATGAGCTGCTGGCACAAGGGTCAAGCCTGTTCTCCTTCCAAGGGGCTGCTGGCAGGTTGAGGTGGCAGTTTTGGAGCCCCTGAAGCAGACCCTGGACACTCAGAGGGTCACTGGAGGGAGGGAGATGCTCCCCATCAGCTTCATATCTGGCCTGGGTTTCCTCTGATGTGTTTATGGGATATCTCCAGCTTGTCCTGCAAAACATTTCTTATTTGGCTTGGTTTTTTTATATTATTTTCTCTGTTTTTAAATAGGATGTGAAAAGCAACAAGACAGTTCTTCATTACACAGTCCAGGATGGGAACATTTCCCTGCTCAGGTACTTCCTGGAGCTGAACGCTTTCAAGTCCAAGGATTTTGTCAACAACAAGGTAATTTTTGTCAACAACAGGTTTTTTTTTACAGAGAGAATAAGCAAAAGTTGTGAATCTGAACTTCTTTTCAACCCCACACTGCATTTTCCAGTAAATTCACCAGGAAAGAAGCACCTGGCTTAACCTCTGTCATGAAAAGCAGGGCCCTCTCCCAGCAGGAGATGACAGAATGAAGAGATAAGCAGGGAGGAAGGAGAACATGGGACGTGGTTGCTTGAGGAGGAACATGAACTTTAGATTAGGCTGAGGATTGGGAAAACAGCCCTGCAGTGATGCAAGGTTTGACAGCAGCATAACACAGAGAGGTGGCACTTTAGGGCAGCCAGGTATCGATTCATCTCTGCTGTCAAATGTGGCATCACAGGAAGGACAAAGTTCCTGTTTCTGTCAAGGGACATGGGGATTCTTTCTGCCTTAAATGTTATTTGCAGATTTTCTGGCACAACCATCCCTAGATTGGGTAAAGCAAGCAGGGAACCTCCCCAGTGCTGCCCCACACCTCACCCCGGAGCAGATCCCGAGCAGTGATCATCTCACACAGGCAGCAGATCCACCCTTCCTCCCAAACCCAAATCCTGACATTCCTGGCAGCCTCAGCTGAGCCATGACTGTCCCCCCAGCCAGAGCTTTGGCTCTGGACAGGCTGCCCCTCTCAGCAGGGCTAAGGGGGTGATTCTGGGTGCTTTCCCATTCTGTCCTTCTTTGAGGAAGGAAACAAGGCTGGGGGTCCCCGGTTTTCATTTCAGCAGCTGCAGCCTCAGCCTTTCTTGTGCTCCCCAGAGTTTGTGTCCCTCAGGAAGGAACTGAATTTGTCAACTCCGTTGCTCACCGAGGCAGACAAAAGGAAGCTTCACTTTTTTTACCCCTCCAGAATTCTGTTGGACTGGAGAAAACATATTTTGGGTCATGTGTGTGGGTAATGGCGCTGAGCTGGTGTTTTTCTGCCCAGTGAAGGGCTTTTCACTGCATTCTTTCCGTATCTTTAAAGACCCTTCAGGCAGGTGGAAGCCTGTCCATGGAGTCTCTGTTGTCTCTTGATCACAATCCTGGGAGAGCTTCCTCCCATGATAGGATCACTTGGAGTCTTCAGCCTTGTTGCTGAGCTGTCTGGGACAGGAGAAATCCTGGCTTTTTTAGCTCTTTGAAGTGTGAAGAGGACAAGGAAACAGCAATGTTTTGGTTTCCCTGGCTCACCCACTGCTTGTGCTTCTCTCAATCCAAATCTGTTTCCATGGCGTTTTCACAATGAGAAAAACATTGAAGCCTTGGAGGTGTTTTTCATCTGGAGGATTCCTGGAGCCCACTTTGCCTCAAATAAGACCCATTAAAGTCAGCCTGAGGCTTCAAGGTCAGGCCTTGTCAGATTGCCTCATTATCTTAGCCCATGCCTGGATTTGGAAGCTCTCAAGTGCAGATCTTTGCATTTTAACAAGAAATCCTGTAAACAGGTTGTAACCATCCCTTGACTTTCTGGGATAATAAATTTGACAAGGATCTGCTTGTTCAGGGTTTGTAAAACATGTCTTGTCTAAGAAAAAACATTAAAATTCTGCAATTTTATTTTCTGCTTTATCTCTCCCTGATGTCTCAGTGGTTAACAGGACCCGAAAATCACATTTTTCATTTAACATTTTAACAAACTGCAATATTAATACAGGCTGCAATTTGTGTCCAACCATTCCAATGTCATGACAAACCCATGATTGTTTCTGAGAGGAAAAAAAACAAGCAGCTGCCTCAATGAGCCTCTTGCAGACTAAAAATACCTCGCCTTGTGCGTTTGTTTATCAGCTTTTTCTCATTTACAACCGTTACCAGTCATACCTGACCAGACGGGACACAGATTTCTACACGGTCTGGTGGCACCAGAGCTTCTGCAGCACCTTTCATCCATGCCTGGCTTCACAGCCAGCTCTGTCCTTCCTGTGCAAATCCTGTCTCTGGAGCCAATCCATGCTTGACCTCGGGAATTTCTGCATCTTCCTGGCTCTTGGAAGTGTGGGAAAAGGGGGCGGTGAGGATGTGTGGAGCACAAATGGGTCTGGTGGTGTGGAGCTTTGTGTGGTGGGCATGATGTGTTTGGTGCCTATAATGCAGTTTAATGTTTCCCAGTGAAATATCTCCATGGTTGTTACAGCCTTCTCTTTTCCCAGTAGCTCCCCAGGTCTCTGTTTCCATGAGGGTGTGATTTAGGGGGTGATTTCAGAGCAGTTTTCAGAGCAATCCTACATCAGGCTATGATTTAGGGGGGATTTCAGCAACCAGGGAAAGTTTCTGCTTCAGGGCTATTTATCACCTACACCCAAAGCATCAAAGCCCCCCCAGTTTGGGGTGCTCTAGCAAATAAAAAATATCTGAATCCACAAACCTTCTGCCTGGGAGAAACAGAGCAGAGATCCTCCCTCACCTCCTGATGACAAATCCCGTGAGGATTCTCCTCTCATTTCACGTCTCCATTTCTAGGATGATTCTGGGGAGATCCACAGCTCACCAGGAGATTTATCTGTGTTTTTTACTCCTTTTTTTTTTCCCCTTCCCCCTTCTTTAGGCCCATGGCAACACAGCCTTGCACATGGCAGCTGCTTTGCCTGGTGACAAGAAGCAGAAGGAAATCATCCAGCTGCTCCTGGAGCACGGGGCAGACCCCAGCATCAGGAATTTGGACAATGACCAGCCAATCCACATGGCCCGTCCTGGAAAAGCTGGGGAACAGGTATGGGACCCACCCTGCTGCTCTCCCCTAACGCACCTGCACGCTCCAGGGGTGGCTGGGTTTGATGCTTGCAGGTATAAAAATATTCCTGATATATTTGGATTTTTATTCAGTTGCATGTGGACACGTAAATAGTTGTGTGTGTGTGTGTCTGTGAGTGTTTTTGGGTGGCTCAGATGGTGCTTCTTGAAATTCCACATTTTTTGGCAGGCCAGGCATTTGCTGAAGAAAGGGAAAGTCACACCTGCATTCAACTCCTGCCGCAGAAATGCCAGATCCTGAGTTCACTGCAATTCATGGAACGGCTTCAACTCCAGTTTCTGCCTCCTATAAAAACTGTGAGCGTGGTTCTGCAGCACATCCCTGCTCCTCCAGGCTCAAACCAGGCTGGGGTGAGAGTGTTTCTCAACCTGTGGCCACGAGCAGCACACCAGACAGCAGAAGATGAGCTTTCAAATGGTTGAAAACTCAATCTTGGTAACAGAGAATGTGAATAAACCTCCAGCAAGGAGGTGAGCAAATCAAATGGCTGCTACATAAATAAGTACATATTCCAAGTAAGTTCAAAGCACAGCCAAGCTTTGATTTGGTAGCAGCTGAAACCCTTGGAGGTGACAGAGCACAAGGTGACAGTTTGGCTATAAAGGGTTGAGAAATGCTGCTCTGAAGCATCCCCAAACTGTGCCTCTGGCTGGAGCCTGTACAGAGGGACTGCTGCAAATGCTGCAGCCTCTGTGATGTGCAGCAACCACTGACCCTGCTGCCCTGGGAATGCAGGATCCTGAGGGGAAGCCTGGATGGAGAACTTGAGTCAGTCCTGACTGGATTTCACCTGAGGGAATGGACATCCAAACCCAAGAGCCCCACGGGAGGGTCCTGCAAGCTGGAGCTGCCCATTCTCAGCACTTTGGGAGGGCTCTGGAGCAGCTCCCCACGGCCAGGCTGTCACCCCAGCCCAAGAGAAGAACCAGGTGGTGTAAGAACAAGGACATGGGGCAGGTTTGTGTGGCTCCTGAGGGGACACCTCCAATCCAATCTGAGTCTCCAGCTCTGGTGGCACAGAGCAGCTCTGGAAGTCCCTCAGGTGTGGAGCTGAGCCCTCACCTGTATGGCAGATTCGGGGCTCTAATAGCTTTTAGGGCAGCAAAGCCCCGTTGGTCTGCACAGCGTGGTCAGGGTGCAAGGGCTGAGTGCTCTCCTACTGCCATTCCCACCTGAGAGGGGTTTAACAGGTTCTTTTTAGCGTTTCTGTGAAATGATTTGTGAATTGCTGTGCAATCAGTGTCTGCCAGGGCACGGACTGGAGGTCGGTGCCTGAAGGGATGCAAGGCCATGTTTTTCCCATCCTCAGGGCTCGCTCTGAGATGTATTTTGATGGTTTCTCACAGTGCCCAGGTGCTGTTCTCCAGCAGGATGAGCAGAGAGACGGAGGGCAGAGCTCTTAAATCACTGCAGCCACTTTCTTGAGCACCCACTGGCTGCCTCAGTGGGATTTCCTGAGGCACTCACAGGCCTGGAGTGTTTAAACAACTGACAGGAACAAAAACTCTTAAGAAATGCAGAGATCTCGATTTTCCAGCCCTCCTCTCTGCTGTTGGGCCATTGCCTCTCACTCAGTCCTGCTGACAGAGAAGCAGACGTGTATTTGCATGTGTTTGCATAAATTTTCATGCATCTGAGCACAGGCCAGTAAAAGGCTGTGCTGTCTCACTTGGAAAGATGTTACAAGGAGGCCTGAATGGAGTGAGAACTGTATCAGTGAGTCAGTACCGAGTGTCAGGCAAAATGATGGATAAAATAACCATTTCTGGAACCTGCTAGCAGCAGAACTGTCACGCTGTGAGCAGCACGTGGCACGTGAAAATGTAAAAAGCTTTTCACCATCTAGAAATGTCTGTGAGGTGCCTGAAGTCCTTTGGCAGCACGTGAAAAAAAAAAAAAAAATACAGGAGCTTTCTTTCCTGGAGTGGCTTTTCTCTTTATTATGTCATCTGTTGGGTGTTTCATACACAGCAGTGTCAGTGGGAGTCTGGAATCATCACCATCTCCAGATTATCAGGGAAAAGATCCTTTTAGGGGAGGAATGTGGCTCCATTAAAGCCTCAGGCTGGCAGCTGGGAGCTGATGGATGAGGTTTCCAGTGGGAAGAGCCCGTGACAGCCCCGGGATTCCTTCTGTCTGTGCTCAGCTTCCCAAAGCTCAGCCAGCAGAGGCCTGCTCTGAAAGCAGCCACAATCCACAAGCTGCTCCTGTTGGCTTTGGACTGGAGCCACCAGACTGTTGGAAGCTGCTGCTTCCCCCTGTGTGTAAAACAATTTCCCTTTTCCCTTTCCCAATTCCTGGCCTGGCTGTGAAGAAAATCACTTTTAAAGCTCAAACCTATCCTGTGTGTCTTCTCTGCTGGGGTGAATTTCACAGATTTAAGCGGTTCACAGCTCACCCCTCAATTTTTTATTGCTCTTTCAGGGGCAATGTAACTTCTCTAAGCTCAGCATTGCTGGCAGTGTGTGATATCCCTTTATTTGCACAGTTTATCTCTTCCTACCTGTGGCTTTGGATAAGTTGCTAATAACAAAGGCTCGTTATCACCAAACAAACGTTCTGAAGTGGCACCATAAAAAAGCTGTCAGTCGGTTGGCAAGGGAAACTTTTAGATCAAATTCTCTGGAAGAAAAGCTGAAAATAAGAACCTTTTCTTTTCTCTGTAACTGTGGGTGACTTCTGGAGTTATTCATGGCTTTGTCAGCACGGGATGATCCTCGGGTTTGTGTTCATAAAGGCAGTCAGGGCTTCACCTGGCAGGGACAGCCTTTCAGTAGAGCCAGCTCTCTTTTAGGTATTTCCTTTAACTCCTTTTTATTTTTGGGAGGGATAAAGGAGGGAAATAATACATTTCTCACAGCCAGAAAACACACAATCAACCTTTGAATGGCTCTTCTGTTGTGTTTTTTTTTCCCTTTCTTGTGTCAACAAGGCCTTGTGTCAACATCCAGCAAGCTTTTACTTGTCCTGAGTGTGTCCCTTGGGGCTGTTGACAGGGAGGTGGGGACAGCATCTCCAACATGTTTCCAGTCTGGCACGGGGGCATTGCAAAACCACTGGAGAAGGAGCAGCAGGGAAAGAGGAAGAGGCTGCAAGGGATGGAAACTGTGCTGCTTATGTGATGGAAGTTGATAAAACCTGGAGATTTTGGGGTGTAGGAACATTTTTCTGGAAATATCTTTGTGTCCTCCACTGAGGAGGTTTTTTTTTGCCTGGATCAAGGCATCAAGGATGGGATTTGGGGTGGTTTCAGTGCTGACATTGCTATGTGGCTGTGCCCAGCAGTGGGATCAGGGATGGGCACAACCACAGCCCTTGCACAGAGCAGTGCTGGGGAGGAACCACACCACAGTCTATTGATAAGTGTGCAATCTGCCAATGACCTATCAGAATTGCACATCCACCTCATCTGGAGGTCAGAGATATCTTGTCAGACTCTCCCTCCTTGCCGTGCACACTTAGGCTGCTACATTAAGACGTGCTAATGAGTGCTCTTAAACCCTTATTTACCATTTTATGGTACCCTTTTACTCCCTGACAGCATCTCCCTGGCTCTGCTAAGCTCAGGCCAACCGTGCCAGACCATGGGGAGGATGTGGGCACCCCATTTCCTCCAGAAGCCTCAAATTTCTTGCCTCAGCTTTATCTCCTGGCTCTTTCTGGTTGCTGATAATGGGCTTTGACGTGTGCCTCGAGGTGTGCAGGCAGCAGCAGCTGGCACTGGGTGAGCTCTGGGGCAGAATTTCAGCCCTTCAGTGCCCCAAAAATCTCACTCAGGGGATGAAGCAGCCGCCAGCACTACTAAAACTACACTTGGTGGGGTGTCCCTGCACTGGGGTGCACACCTTTAACTGCTGCAAAGTTACAGCTCTTTATAATTTATATAATAACATATATATTTTTTGCTGTGACCTCATGGATTTATCACTTGGGTCAATGCTGAGATTAATCAGGGGAGAAGGGGAGGTGTTATTTGAAGGTGGCAAAATATTTTTAAAGCATGTGTTGGAAAAAAACCCCAAACTCACTACCTTATTTTTCTTACCTTATTTTCTTATTATTTTCTTCTTTTCTTATTATTTTTTTATCTTTCCTTACTGGAAAGATTTTCACTTCAGTGTGGAAGTGTGTGGACGGGGTGAGAAAAAAGCTGGATAGAATTCATATTTCTCTCCACAGGTGTAGTTATTTTCTTTTTTGGTTTTTTGGGTTGGTTTTTTTTTTTGTGGAATTTAATATGGAGAGATGCTTCTTTCTTTCTTTCTTTCCAGTCTGGGTGCTCAGCTGAGAAACTGAGTCTGCCTCACCAAGAGAAGGCAAAATCTTAGGAAGGTCTGGGTTTATGCAAGAAACAGGAAATCCTCAGGTATTACAATTTCCCTATTATCTACTTTTTTTAAAAAATAAATCATTTAGCTCCTGTTCAGCTGATTATGCTGAAAACCTTTTATCCACAGCCCAAACTCGACCAAGGGCTGCCAAACTACATCAGCCTCGCAGTGAAATTCTGTCTCCACAGAGAAGCTGGGGCTGAGCAGCAGCCACAGAAGTTTGGCTCTGGATTTTACCTCTGAGGGGCTGTGGGCTAAAGCCTGGGTTGGTGTGGCAAACAGCAGCTTTCCTTTTCTGCCAGAGCCACTGGGAAATGTCACCAGGGCAGCCAGAGGTGGGGAGCTGCAGATCCAGCTCAGAGTGCACACACTCTGGGAAAAGCTGGATTAAAAATGGGCTTTGTATCTGCTGGAAAGGGTGAGCAAGACCTTTCTTGAATAGGCTTCTCAAAATCTCATCCTCACCTCTGTGAGAGCAGGGACAGCAGCCTGGATCAACAGCAGGAGAGAAAAGCACTCCTTAACACATGAAAAATGACCAGGTTTCAGCATTTGCACCAAGTGATTTATTTGTATCAAAAAGAGCTGGTTTAATGACAAGTGTTTGATAAGGCAGCTTCAGATTTATTTAAAAAACAGCAACAATGAAAATAAAAACAGGGAAAAAACCCCACCAAACCACCACAACAACAACAAAACACCCCTGACCCGAGATTAATGTAGTGACAGCATCGTGTAAAAAAACGTGTAAGTAGTGAAGAATAAACTGGACTCTGTTAGGCAGCAGAACTTTGCATAGTTCATGGGCAATTTAATCTGCTTTGGATAGAGTGGATGTGTGAAACCACAGTCCCATTAGCTGTAGCAAATGTCACAGCTCCTGTCCCTCCTGAGGAAGTCCTCGGCCAGGGCTGGCAGGAATTCCAGGCAGTCCGTGCTGGGGCAGGGGAAGCAGTGCTGGCCCCTGCTGTCCATGGTCTGGGGGCCGCAGGCTGTGCAGCAGCAGGCAGGGCTGGGGAAGGGGCAGGGAGGGTGGCAGGGCCACTCCTCCACGGGACAGCTGTAGGGTTTGGTGTCCAGAGCTGAGGGCGGGCTGGGG